CCTAGGCTATGGAAGCTTAAGAAAAGTATTCTTTAATCGAAAAGATGATGAACAGAATGCCTTATCTCTTCTAAGACTGTGGTTATAATCTACTTCTTACCAATTTAAAAACAAAGCTATGAATCAAAGGGATGAACTCAGAGCATTTAAACATCAAAATGTAAATGCAATAAAATTTATTTTTCCAACTAATTTTAATGTTAAATATTTTTAAGATGTATTAAAGAATGTTATAATATTTATGTGTTAAACAATGTATTATTATTATTTTTTTTTTGTCAGGCAGAGTGGACAGTGAGAGAGAGAGACAGAGAGAAAGGTCTTCCTTTGCCATTGGTTCACCCTCCAATGGCTGCTGCAGCTTGTGCACCACGCTGATCCGATGGCAGGAGCCAGGTGCTTCTCCTGGTCTCCCATGGGGTGCAGGGCCCAAGCACTTGGGCCATCCTCCACTGCACTCCCTGGCCACAGCAGAGAGCTGGCCTGGAAGAGGAGCAACCGGGACTAGAACCTGGTGTGCCGGCGCCGCAAGGCGGAGGATTAGCCTAGTGAGCCTCGGCGCCGGCCTAAACAATGTATTACTATTTATAACTAAGTCATCAAAAAATGACAGTACCTTTAGTTCTGTTTGGTTTACTCAAGTGCCTGTACAATAGGTAAAATTCAGATATTTCTAAAAAACATCCTTTGGATTTCCATCAGGAAGAACTACCTAACCACACGGGATCGGTGAGCATTTCTAGGGCACACTAATTTTACTGAGTAATTAAGATACTGCAGGTAGGAAATCATAGGTTCTGTCATTTATCAGAATTTATAAACCAAAATGTCTAAACTACAATAGGCAAGGCTTTAGAAACAGCCAAGCATGAACCAATGACTGGTCCTGAAAAGCACTCTACCTAAAGCTTTTCCCAGTCAAGTTTTGCTTCATTTTTTAAACCCTATGTCACATTTATTTAGGTTGACTTCTGCTCAGAGGGCACCTGTTTTGACTAATGAATTTCAGATTTTAAGTTTGTAGGATCTTTATGATACACACATTAATTTTTTTTCCATTTTAAAGATAAACAGAAAGAGATAGAGACAGAGATCTTCCATCTGCTGGTTCATTCCCCAAATGTCCTTAACAGTAATCCAAAAGCCCAGAATTCAACATGGGTCTCCCACATAGGTACCAGGGACCCAAAATCTTTCATTACTACCTGCTGTCTCCCTGGGTGTGCATCAACAGGAAGCTGGAATCTAAGACGGAGCTGAGACTTGAACTCAGGCACTCAGACACGGGATGTGGGCATCCTAAGCAGCAGCTTAACCACCGCACCAAACACCTGCCCCTGTGATATAAACTTGTGGGCATACTTGGAGTTCCATGAAAGACAATAAAATGAAAAGTTTCTGAGAATGACTACTCATACACATCAAAAACAATGGGATGGGGGAAGGCCGGTGCTGTGGTGTAGTGATAAAACCACTGCCTGCAGTGACGGCATCCCATACGGGAGCCGGTTCAAGACCCAGCTGCTCTACTTCCGAGCCAGCTCTCTGATACGGCCTGGGAAAGCAGAAGACAGCCCAAGTCCTTGGGCCCCTACCCCTGCGTGGGAGACCCAGAGGAATTCCTGGCTCCTGGCTTCAGATCGACCCAGTTCCAGCCATCGCGGCCATCTGGGGAGTGAACCAGTGGATGAAAGAACTCTCTCTCTGTCTCTGCCTCTGCCTCTCTGTAACTCTACCTTTCAAATAAATAAATAAATCTTAAAAAAGAAAAAAGAATTTGTAGTTGTAACAACTTAAAAAAATAGGAAATTGTTCAATGACTTCAAAAAGACAATCACATCATAAAAGATATCCTAGGTTGATTATCTTGTCCCCTTTGGGCTCTTAAGATATGCTTTTATATGTTTAAGGCTCCTAACGATGCTGAGATTTTTAAGATTCCATGATTGGGGCTGGCACTGTGGCATAGTGGGTAAAACCACTGCCTGCAATGCTGGCATCCCATATGGACACCAGTTTGAGTCCCATCTCCTCTATTTCCAATCCAGCTCTCTGCTAATACACCTATGAAAGCAGCAGAGGATGGCCCAAGTGCTTGGGTCCCTGCACCCATGTAGGAGACTTGGAAGAAGTTCCTGGGTCCTGGCTTCGGATCAGCCCATCTACAGCTGTTGTTGTGACCATTTGGGGAATAAAACAGCAGATGTAAAAATCTCTCTTTTTTAGAGCCAGTCCTGTGGTGTAGTGGGTAAAGCCGTTGCCATACAGGAGCTGGTTTGAGTCCCAACTGCTCCACTTCTGATCCAACCCTCTGCTATGGCCTGGGAAAGCAGTGCAAGATGGCCTCTGTACCCATGTGGGAGACCCAGAAGGAGCTGCTGACTACTGACTGTGGCCTGGCCCAGTCCTAGCCATTGCAGCCATTTGAAAGCAAAGCAGCAGATGGATGATCTCTCTCTCTCTCTCTCTCTCTCTGCCTTATAAATAAATACATCTTTAAAAATAAATAAATAAATCTTAAAAACAAGACAGATAGACATGGATTAATATTTAAAAAAAAAAAAAGTGGGGGCGGGTTTAAGTCCCAGCTGCTCCACTTCTAATCCAGCACCCTGCAAATGCACCTGGGAAAGCAGAAGAAGACAGCTCAAGTTGTACCCACACGGGAGACCAGAAGAAGCTCCTAGTTCCTGGCTCCTGGCTTTGGATCAGCTCAGCTCCGCCTGTTGCAGCCATCTGGGGAGTAAATCAGTGAATGGAAGACCTCTCTCTCTCTGCCTCTACCTCTCTGTGTAATGCTGTCTTTCAAATAAATAAAAATAAAATCTTAAAAAAAAAATAGCAGGTTCCATGATTGATGAACAAAATTCCTTCCTACTGGTATCAACTATAGCTCCATGATTTAAAAAAATAGTTCATTTAATAGTAATATATATTTTATAATAAAATTTTAGTAGAATACTGACAAATGATAAACTGTTTATGTAAAAATCATGTTATAGCATGTAAAACTAACTAGGAAATCCATAGTTCACAAAAGTACATATATTTTGTTGACACATTTGAGATTATCAAAATTTAAGGTACAGAACAGAATTCACAGTCAGACTTGACACTCGGAACTATATTATACACTGGATCCACTGATATTTCTGCTAATAAGGTGCATTTGAAATCATAGATTTGGTGCATTGCTTTATTGTATAACCAAGAGCTATTGTTTTTACATCCAATAATTATTTCACAAATAATTAAAACAACAGACATCTAGCTGAAAACACAATTCACATATAACTTTATTAGGATAATTAAAATAAAAAGCACTGGCAGCTTTGATTTCCACTTTCATGAATATATACAAGATAAATCCATTTTTTACATTTAAAATTTGTATAAAAGTCAAGCCCTGAAATATTTTTGAAGAAAAATTCTGATTTTAAAACTTTGTTTTTTAAAAAAGAGAGAGGTACCATATTGAACTGCTGCACCACTTATATTATAAATGAAATTTAGATTTATATATATAACATTATTTTGCCATTCTAGAGTCCAATTTATAAAACTCACACGATGCTAAAGCTGGGAAGTCATTAAAACATAGTGGTACCAGCCAGCACCATGGCTCACTTGGCTAATCCTCTGCCTGTGACGCCAGCACCCCGGGTGCCAGTCCCAGTTGGGGCGCTGGTACTGTCCTGGTTGCTCCTCTTCCAGGCCAGCTCTCTGCTGTGGCCCGGGAAGGCAGTGGAGGATGGCCCATTGCTTGGGCTCCTGCACCGGCATGGGAGACCAGGAGGAAGCACCTGGCTCCTGGCTTTGGATCAGCGGTGCGCTGGCCACAACCCGCCGGCCGTAGAGGCCATTTGAGGGGTGAACCAATGGAAAAGGAAGACCTGTCTCTCTGTCTCTCTCTCTAACTCTGCCTGTCAAAACAAACAAACAAACAAACAAAAAAACACATAGTGGTACCTAAATTGATGAACTTCAGTGAATTCAATAAAACATATTTTACTACACAATGCTTGGCAGTCAGTTAATAGTTCACTGAGAATATGTTTAGTGGTAATGTTTTGAATAAAATACACTGGAGTATTTTGAGTCATGTCATCTGCATTTCATCAAGACTTTACTACTTCATATATTTTACCATACAGCACCTGAGATACTTTATTATAAAACATATATTATGCAAATGTTTGGCCTAAATATTGATGAAAATAATTCAACCTGCACTTTTTTTTTTTTTTTTTTGACAGCCAGAGTTAGACAGTGAGAGAGAGAGAGAGACAGAAAGAGGTCTTCCTTTTCCATTGGTTCACCCCCCAAATGGCTGCTGCAGCTGGCGCGCTGCAGCCCAATCTGCACTTTTAACAAGCTGTGGTGGAGCCTCTATTGCATTGAAAGAAAGACCTGTTAGCCATGTTTTAAAGCAGATTTTTAAATAGATTAGCACCCTCTTTAGTAAGTTCTTTCTAGATGTTCCCCAATAAGTATAGCAGAAAAACGAGGTGTACTTAACTACACAACAGCAATGCTTCCAAATTCCAAAGTAACCTCTTCTTCCACTAGACCCTTACCATGTGCACTACTAGTTTACAGTATCAGCACATACTGGTGTATTTTATCGTCTCTGTAATTCACGTTCATAATGACAGAAATCATGTCTGATTCATCTTTTATCCCTGTCAATATGTGCATTGTACTTGCACAGAAGGTGCTCATAAAAAACCTGACAAACTTTCTCTTCCCAAGATTACAATGACGATCTCAAACTCTTTCAAACTCTGAAATGAACTGAGTTCTTAGGTGACTGAAATGTCGTGCATTTATGTTTATTTTTAAGCAATAGTATTTTAGGTAAATATGAAAACAACTGCATAATATTTTGAGAAAGTAAAACTTCAAGAATGTTACTTAAGCCTATGTTTCCTTTTAAACATATATTTGAGAGAAAGACAATAAGTTTTGGGGAAGCATTAGTAACAATTATTAAATCTTACCTGAGGATTCCAACCTGGGTCTAATTTTTTAACTACTGCAATATATTCCTGCATTGCTTGACTGGGGCTTGAATCTCCAAGTGCTTTCCATGCTTCCCTACAGTACAGAATATGCAAAATGACCAGTCATTAACTATGTGAATAATACAAACAACATACTTCTCTTTATTAGTGAAAATCTGCACACACATTTCAAGGCCTGGGGATGGGCTGCGACAATGGGCTATGCAGGGAGGGGGAACGGAGGAGCTTCTCTCTGCACTGACGTCTGGTCTGCAGCATTAGAGTGTACTACCTACCTAAGGGGCCTTTGTAGATGTTCTTTCCTAATCACCTTACCCGGGGAACTGTAATAACACAGATATACTACTTATCTGTTGGGTTTTGGAAGACTACAGACCACTGCAATGTAAGATTGTGTCATACCCCCAAACCCAACGTTCACCCTTGTTGAGAGAATGTACGATCTACAAATAGAGACAGATCCTAAGTTATGAATTACCTGCGCTCAGGGCACTTTGGTACAACAGAAGCTATCATCACGTAAGAAACAACATTCCTAGGGAGATCTTCAAACGTCAGAAACCCACCCTCCCCTTTAGCTGTCACCTCTTCTCTAACAACTAGTACTCAATCATGAGGCCTCAGCGAAGGACTTCAAAACCAAGGGACGATGGGAGAAGACATGAGGACACTAGCATGGAGGACCACACCACGAGTCACATTTCAGCCCTGAGCCCCCTTCTGGGTCATCCCTTTCTTTTTTTCTGCAGGCTGCCAGGATAGGTCTCTCTGGTTTTCCCTGCTGATCTTTCCTATGATCTACCAGAGTTTCTCTATTTTCCTGATCCACTGTAACACAGAACTTAGCCACACAGATTCTCACTAACTTCCTGCTCCTGTAATGAATACAACATCTTTCTGAGGTCTCCTAAATTTATTTTTACTGAATCTCTTGAGTTACTTGTATCAATCATAACAATTCACCTCCACGTTTATCGGCTTATAGAAAACTCAGGAAATTTACCATCAACACTTTAACACAGAGACTATACATTCAGAATTCCCTGATCATCCTAGTAATCCTTTATGACTCTTCTCAGACCATGAGCTACACAAGATTCACACACAGCACTGAGTTTCATACACCTTTAGCCTTTTGTCTTCCACATTGATTTTTAGTCTAAACCAACTACTTCATACAATATCCCTCAATTTGGATTTCTCTAATTGTTTACCCACCTATACCATACTCTCACCAAAAATGATTAATCATAATTACAATCAGGTTAAGTATTTCACCAAGAGCAATGCAGAGTGAGGCCAGTGTCGTGGCATGGTGGGTAATGCCGCTGCCTGCGACACCAGCATCTCATATGGGTGCCAGTTTGTGACCCAGCTGCTCTACATTTTTTTTTGGACAGGCAGAGTGGACAGTGAGAGACAGAGACAGACAGAGAGAAAGGTCTTCCTTTTTCCATTGCTTCACCCCTCAATGGCAGCTGCAGCTGGTGCACAGTGCTGATCTGAAGCCAGGGGCCAGGTGCAGTGCTTCCTCCTGGTCTCCCATGCGGGTGCAGGGCCCAAGCACTTGGGCCATCCTCCACTGCCCTCCCGGGCCACAGCAGAGAGCTGGACTGGAAAAGGAGCAACCGGGACAGAATCTGGCGCCTTGATCGGGACTAGAACCCGGTGTGCCGGCGCCGCAGGCGGAGGATTAGCCTAGTGAGCCGCGGCGCTGGCCCTGCTCTACTTTTGATCCAGCTCCCTGCCTAGGAAAAAGCAGCAGAAGATGGCCCAAGTGTTTGGGCCCCTGCCACCCAGTGGGAGACCTGGATAAAGCTCCTGACTCCTCGATTTGGCCTGGTCCAGACCTGGTCATTGTGGCCATCTGAGGAGTGAACAAGTGGATACAAGATCTCTCTCTCTCCCTCTAACTCTTCAATAAACAAATCATAAAAAAAAAAAAAAAAAATACAGGGCCGGCGCCGCGGCTCAATAGGCTAATCCTCCGCCTTGTGGCGCCGGCACACCAAGTTACAGCCCCGGTCAGGGCGCCGGATTCTGTCCCATTTGCCCCTCTTCCAGGCCAGCTCTCTGCTATGGCCCGGGAGTACAGTGGAGGATGGCCCAAGTGCTTGGGCCCTGCACCCATGGGAGACCAGGAGAAGCACCTGGCTCCTGGCTTCGGATCTGTGCGATGCACCGGCCGCAGCACGCCGGCCGCGGCAGCCATTGGAGGGTGAACCAACGGCAAAAGGAAGACCTTTCTCTCTGTCTCTCTCTCTCACTGTCCACTCTGCCTGTCAAAAAAAAAAAAAAAGAAGAAGAAGAAGAAAAAGAAGAAGAAAAAAAAAATTAGAGAAGGAACCATGAAGACATAGAAAACCTAAACAGACCCATAACTAAGAAAGAAATTGAAACAGCAATAAAGGCCCTTCCAACAAAGAAAAGCCCAGGACCAGATGGATTCACTGCTGAATTCTACCAGACATTTAAAGAAGAACTAACTCCAATTCTTCTCAAACTATTCAGAACAATCAAAAAAGTGGGAATCCTCCCAAATTCTTTCTATGAAGCCAGCATCACCTTAATTCCTAAGCCAGAAAAAGATGCAGCATTGAAAGAGAATTACAGGGCCGGCGCCGCGGCTCACTAGGCTAATCCTCCACCTTGCGGCGCCGGCACACCGGGTTCTAGTCCCGGTCGGGGCACCGGATTCTGTCCCGGTTGCCCCTCTTCCAGGCCAGCTCTCTGCTGTGGCCAGGGAGTGCAGTGGAGGATGGCCCAGGTGCTTGGGCCCTGCACCCAATGGGAGACCAGGAAAAAGCACCTGGCTCCTAGCTCCTGCCATCGGATCAGCGCAGTGCGCCGGCCGCAGCGCGCTGGCCGCGGCGGCCATTGGAGGGTGAACCAACGGCAAAGGAAGACCTTTCTCTCTGTCTCTCTCTCTCTCACTGTCCACTCTGCCTGTCAAAAAATAAAAAAAAAAATAAATAAAATTAAAAAAAAGAAAGAGAATTACAGACCAATATCCCTGATGAACATAGATGCAAAAATCCTCAGTAAAATTCTGGCCAATAGAATGCAACAACACATCAGAAAGATCATCCACCCAGACCAGGTGGGAATTATCCCTGGTATGCAGGGATGGTTCAATGTTCGCAAATCAATCAATGTGATTCACCACATTAACAGACTGCAGAATAAAAACCATATGATTATCTCAACAGACGCAGAGAAAGCATTTGATAAAATACAACACCCTTTCATGATGAAAACTCTAAGCAAACTGGGTATGGAAGGAACATTCCTCAATACAATCAAAGCAATTTATGAAAAACCCACGGCCAACATCATATTGAATGGGGCAAAGTTGGAAGCATTTCCACTGAGATCTGGTACCAGACAGGGATGCCCACTCTCACCACTGCTAGTCAATATAGTTCTGAAAGTTTTAGCCAGAGCTATTAGGCAAGAAAAAGAAATTAAAGGGATATAAATTGGGAAGGAAGAACTCAAACTATCCCTCTTTGCAGATGATATGATTCTTTATTTAGGGGATCCAAAGAACTCTATTAAGAGACTACAGGAACTCATAGAAGAGTTTGGCAAAGTAGCAGGGTATAAAATCAATGCACAAAAATCAACAGCCTTTGTATACGCAGGCAATGCCACGACTGAGAAAGAACTTCTAAGATCAATCCCATTCACGATAGCTACAAAACCAATCAAATACCTTGGAATAAACTTAACCAAGAACGTTAAAGATCTCTACAATGAGAATTACAAAATCTTAAAGAAAGAAATAGAAGAAGATACCAAAAAAATGGAAAAATCTTCCATGCTCATGGATTGGAAGAATCAATATCATCAAAATGTCCATTCTCCCAAAAGCAATTTATAGATTCAATGTGATACCAATCAAAATACCAAAGACATTCTTCTCAGATCTGGAAAAAAAATGATGCTGAAATTCATATGGAGACACAGGAGACCTCGAATAGCTAAAGCAATCTTGTACAACAAAAACAAAGCTGGAGGCATCACAATACCAGATTTCAGGACATACTACAGGGCAGTTGTTATCAAAACAACATGGTACTGGTACAGAAACAGATGGATAGACCAATGGGACAGAATTGAAACACCAGAAATCAATCCAAACATCTACAGCCAACTTATATTTGATCAAAGATCCAAAACCAATCCCTGGAGTAAGGACAGTCTATTCAATAAATGGTGCAGGGAAAATTGGATTTCCACGTGCAGAAGCATAAAGCAAGACCCCTACCTTTCAACTTACACAAAAATCCACTCAACATGGATTAAAGACTTAAATCTACGACCCGACACCATCAAATTATTAGAGAACATTGGAGAAACCCTGCAAGATTTGGTACTGGCAAAGACTTCTTGGAAAAGACCCCAGAAGCACAGGCAGTCAAAGCCAAAATTAACATTTGGGATTGCATCAAATTGAGAAGTTTCTGTACGGCAAAAGAAACAGTCAGGAAAGTGAAGAGACAACCGACAGAATGGGAAAAAATATTTGCAAACTATGCAACTGATAAAGGGTCAATAACCAGAATCTACAGAGATCAAGAAACTCCACAACAACAAAACAAACAACCCACTTAAGAGATGGGCCAAGGACCTCAATAGACATTTTTCAAAAGAGGAAATCCAAATGGCCAACAGACACATGAAAAAATGTTCAAGATCACTAGCAATCAGGGAAATGCAAATCAAAACCACAATGAGGTTTCACCTCACCCCGGTTAGAATGGCTCACATTCAGGAATCTACCAACAACAGATACTGGCGAGGATGTGGGGAAAAAGGAACTAACCCACTGTTGGTGGGAATGCAAACTGGAAAAGCCAGTATGGAAGTCAGTCTGGAGATTCTTCAGAAACCTGAATATAACCCTACCATACAACCCAGCCATCCCACTGCTTGGAATTTACCCAAAGGAAATTAAATTGGCAAACAAAAAAGCTGCCTGCACCTTAATGTTTATTGCAGCTCAATTCACAATAGCTAAGACCTGGAATCAACCCAAATGCCCATCAACAGTAGACTGGATAAAAAAATTATGGGGCATGTACTCTACAGAATACTATAGAGTAGTCAAAAACAATGAAATCCGGTCATTTGCAACAAAATGGAGGAATCTGGAACACATCATGCTGAGTGAATTAAGCCAGTCCCAAAGGGACAAAGATCATACGTTCTCCCTGATCGGTGACAACTAACCAAGCACCAAAAAGGAAACCTGTTGAAGTGAAAGGGACACTATGAGAAACAGTGACTTGATCAGCCCTTGTCCTGACTGTTGATGTACAATGTAATACTTTATCCCTTTTAGTATTTTCTTTTTGTTCTAGTTAATACTATTGGTTGAACTCTGTAATTAACACACATTTATTCTTAGGTGTTGAAATTTAACTGAAAAGTGATCCCTGTTAAATAAAAGAGTGGGAATAAGAGAGTGAGGAGATGCACAATTTGGAACATGCTCAATCGGACTTGCCCCAAATGGTGGAGTTAGAAACGTGCCAGGGGATTCCAATTCAATCCCATCAAGACTGCATGTACCAATGACATCTCACTAGTTCAAGTGATCAATTTCAGCTCACAATTGATCACACTGATAGGTCTAAGAGTCACACAAACAAGACTAGTGTCTGCAAATACTAACTGATAGAATAAAAAAAGGAGAGAATGATCCAACATGGGAAGTGGGATACACAGCAGACTCATAGAATGGCAGATCTCCTAAACAGCACCCTGGCCTCAGAATCAGCCCTTAAGGCATTCGGATATGGCTGAAGAGCCCATGAGAGTATTTTAGGCATGGAAAGCCAAGACACTCTGGCAAAAAAAAAAAAAAAAAAAAAAAAAGACCTATGAAGTCTTGCGAGGAGATACCAGAAGAAAGAACAGGCCATCAAAGAAGGAGGTACCTTTCTCTGAAGGGAGGAGAGAACTTCCACTTTGACTTAAGACCCTGTCTAAATAAGATCGAAGTCAGCGAACTCAAGAGGCTTCCATAGCCTTGGAAACTCATGACTAGAGCCTAGGGAGATTTCTGACGCCATAAACAAGAGTGTCAAATTGTTAAGTCAACAACAGGAGTCACTGTGTACTTACTCCTCATGTGGGATCTCTGTCCTTAATGTGTTGTCCAATGTGAATTAAAGCTATAACTAGTACTCAAACAGTATTTTTCACTTTGTGTTTTTGTGTGGGTGCAAACTGATGAAATCTTTACTTAATATATACTAAATCGATCTTCTGTATATAAAGATAATTGAAAATGAATCTTGATGTGAATGGAATGGGAGAGGGAGTGGGAGATGGGAGGGTTGCAGGTGGGAGGGAAGTTATGGGGGGGAAAAGCCATTGTAATCCATAAACTGTACTTTGGAAATTATGTTTACTAAATAAAAGTTAAAAAAAATAAATTGTTAAAAACAATGGAGAAACAGGTCAAGCATAGGGGGAACAAATAATGGTGAGGTTATAAAATTTCATAAACTGAAACAAGTAAATTACAATAAATGTTACACCAGATAGCCTCTAGAACAGTAATAAAATGCCAGTCAGAGAATTATTATCAGCAAAGAATGCAAATAGAAGCCTTGCTTTCTTCACTGGGAATGTCCTATACAAAAAAAAGTCAGCTGAACTAAACATGATGGTTGGCTACAAAGTGCTGCTGGCAACAGTTTGCAGACAGGCAATTTATCCAGTCCTGTGTAGGACTGCTTTAGAACCTGAAGTCAGAATTCAACTTTTAGCATTTCCTCTCTCTACAACCATCCTTGTGAAAACAAACTCTACCCAGTAACTTTTTTTTTTTTTTTTTTTTTTTTTTTTTTTTTTTGACAGGCAGAGTGGACAGTGAGAGAGAGAGACAGAGAGAAAGGTCTTCCTTTGCCGTTGGTTCACCCTCCCATGGCCGCCGCGGCCGGCGCGCTGCGGCCGCGCACCGCGCTGATCGATGCAGAGCCAGGAGCCAGGTGCTTTTCCTGGTCTCCCATGGAGTGCAAGAGCCCAAGCACCTGAGCCATCCTGCACTGCACTCCCTGGCCACAGCAGAGGGCTGGCCTGGAAGAGAGGCAACCGGGACAGAATCCGGCGCCCCAACCGGGACTAGAACCCGGTCTGCCGGCGCCGCTAGGCGGAGGATTAGCCTAGTGAGCCGCGGCGCCGGCCCCCAGTAACTTTTTTAATATACATTTTTACTTACTTTTATTTTTGTTTGAAAGGCAGAGAAACACCAGGAAAGAGCTTCCATTCACTGATTTATTTTTATTTTTTTTTTTATTTTTGATAGGCAGAGTGGACAGTGAGAGAGAGAGACAGAGACAGAAAGGTCTTCCTTTGCCATTGGTTCACCCTCCAATGGCCACCGCTGCAGCCGGCGCACCGCGCTGATCCGATGGCAGGAGCTAGGAGCCAGGTGCTTTTCCTGGTCTCCCATGGGGTGCAGGGCCCAAGCACCTGGGCCATCCTCCACTGCACTCCCTGGCCATAGCAGAGAGCTGGCCTGGAAGAGGGGCAACCGGGACAGAATCCGGTGCCCCGACCGGGACTAGAACCCGGTGTGCCGGCGCCGCAAGGTGGAGGATTAGCCTATTGAGCCACGGCGCCGGCTCCCATTCACTGATTTAATCTCCAAATGCCCAAAATAGCCAGATCTAGGCCAGGTGGAAGCCAGAAAACTGAAACTCAATCTGGGCCTCCCACGTGGGTAACAAGAACCACTCCCATGTGGGATGTGGGCATCCCAGGCACATTTCTGTTGCACCAGATTCCTGCCCCCATACACTTCTGTAATTCCAGGGCTGGTGCTGCAACGTCTTTCCTTTTATAACTAAGGTTCCTTATTGAAAGCAGTTTCTCATTTTTCACTCAGAAGAGATGAGAAGATAAGGCCTTATAAATAAGCGGGACTCTCTGAATTATTTTTTAAAAATTGGGAGACTATAATCTTTCCTATGAATTCAGAGAAGTGGATTCAGTGTTTTGTTTTGGTTTTTGCTCCCTTTCTTTCCCAGAGATTAATTTAATATACACACTTCTTTACTGTGGTGTGAGTCCAAGGGACAGAAGAATACAAGACAAAGACACACAGGGGCAGGGAGGAGAAGAGTAAAACACGGGGCTCACCCTGCTCTTCTCCTTTACCATTTTCCTGACCTTCTACCCAAGGGGAAAGGTAGTGACCCGTCAGGAGAGGAAAATCACAAGCAATAGCTCTTAAGGTTACACCTCTTCTATATTCATAGGTAAGGAATGTATGTCTGTTGTGAACTATTTATACACCAACATCAATGCAAAGGAATCCTTTAACGACTTAGCTGAAATCAGATTCTTATAATCCCCTCTCCCGACTGCCTGTTGTTAGAGTCTTCAGCAGAGAGATTAATATGAAAATAATTCTTTAATCTGCTCACTACTTTCTAATTCCTACAAACTAAATCGGGGCTGGCACTGTAGCACAGTGGGTTAAGCCAGATTGCAAAGCTAGCGTGCCACATCAAAGTGCTGTTTTGAGTCCCAGTTCCTCTGCTTCTGGTCCAGCTTCCTGCAAATGCTGGGAACGCAGCAGATGACCCAAGTACTTGGGTCCTTGCCACTAATGTGGGAGACCTGGATGGAGTTCCCGGCTCTTGATTTTGGCCTGGCCCAGCTCTGGCTATTGCAGGCACTTGGGAAGTGAACCAGCAGCCAGAAGATACCTCTCTATCAATCTCTCCCTCAACCCCTGTCTCTGACACTCTGTCTTTCCAGTAAATAAATAACTTCTTAAAAGAAACAATTTTAAAAAGGAAACATCTAAATCATTTCCATAACTGCATTAAAGAATTGGAGAATTTCTTACCATTTTTGCTTTCCTTCAAAATCAAAAAAGCTTGGTTTAGGAGTATTGCAATTTCCAACTTTGACCTAAATGAGGAGGGAAAAAAAAGCTTATTTTTCAAAGAAATATCTGAGAAATTGTTTCAAGTGTATCAAATATATTTAGTAACAATAGGTTATAAAATAGTTTAAAATATTGACATTTACATAGAGTTAACAAAACTTCACATTCCTTGCAAAAGCAAACAAAAACTCAAACATATCAAACTTCAAACACAAGCTGCTTTAGTTTACTACATAAAACAACTGTATTGCAGAAAAAATGAGTGACAGATAATTGCATTCCTAAATTACATTTAATTATATAAGACAAATTACAGATTTAGTTTATGTAATCTTTATTATCATTTATAATAGAGAACTTTTAAAGATGAAATTAACAGGCTTTAAAGTTCAGCTTATCAAAATTCATAATACTGGTTTCTTTTACACTGATTAGAACACTATTAAAATTTTATCTATTTCAAATAAAAAGTACTATTTTTAAAAATGTCCTATTATGAAACTCATAGATAAAAATTTAGATGCCTAAAGCCATGCAAAAAAGCCTCAAGGGTTTTCAACAACAATATTAATTCCATCCGTCCCACAATAATCTCTTGTCTGTGGCCAACACTCATTTTTAATCCTCAAGTAATATTTGTAGTTAAGTGATAAATTCTTTTCATTGTGAATATGCATAAATGAGAATCACAGAAGTGCAGAACTCACTACACAGCCTCTGATTCCCACTGCCAGAAGTAATCTCCCTTACGAACTTTTAGGCATCCACTCTATGTACCTCTTGTGGCACTTTCCATTTTTTCTACCTTGTGACATGAAGTTTTAGATAAAGTCTCACCTTTTTTTTTTATTAGATATTTATTTTATTTATTTGAGAGACAGAGTGACAGAGAGAGGTAGAGTCCCCAGATGGCCACAACGGCCAGAGCTGTGCTGATGCGAAGCCAGGAGCCAGAAGCTTCTTCCGGGTCTCCCACGCAGGTGCAGGGGCCCAAGGACTTGGGCCATCCTCTACTGCTTTCCTAGGCCACAGTAGAGAGCTGGATCGGAATAGGAACAGCTGGGACTAGAACCAGCGCCCATATGGGATGCTGGCCAGGGCTTTAACCCACTGTGCCACAGCGCAGGCCCCAAAGTCTCATCTTTGTATCAGAAGAGAGTCCCTAAAAAACTGTCCTGAACTCACCCACAGCACCCATCTACTTCCCCAGGACCCGCCCACCACCTCCTATTACTCTTACACCCTAAAATCAATTCTGATGCCATCATCTCACCACACTAAACTCTTTGCTGCTTTAGGGACTTTTGGTTCTGTAAAACACAGGACAGGACACTCACCTGAAATGCCTTCTGTTCTTCTCTCAGCTTTTAAAAATATTACACCTCCTTCCAGTCTGGCCTAAAGTTCAGATGCTAAGAATCCCTTCATCTGCAGCTATTTTGTACAGCCCTGAAATCCTCAGTTGTCACTTCCATTATTGCTTAGCGATCACACTACCCTCTATCAGCCTTTTCATGACGGGATGGGTGAGAGATGAGCTGTGATTCTCACTCACATGGACCAAATACTTCACGTACGTTACTTGTGCGGAGACACAATAACACTGTGAGGTAGGTAGGCTATTACAAACTCATTTTTAAAGACACAGGTTTATTTATTTACTTGAAAGGCAGAGTTAAAGACACAGAGGGAGAGACAGAAAGAGAGAGAGCTCTTGCATTTGCTGGTTCACTTCCCAAATGGCTGCAACGGCCAGGGCTGGGCCAGGCTAAAGCCAGGGGCCTGGAACTCCATCTGGGTCTCCCACGTGGATGCAGGGGCCCAAGGATTTGGGTTATCTCCCACTGCTTTCCCACGCACATTAACAGGGAGCTAGATGGGAAGTGGGATAGCCAGGAATCGAACTGGCGCACATACGGGATGCCGATGTCACAGGCAGTCATTTTATCCACTACGCCACGCCAGTCCCACAAACTCATTTTATAAATGAGGATGGAGAAGCTCAGAAGCATTGTCTCAGCTCACACGTTAGTAAATATTGAATTACAGTCAGCGTTTGAACCCAAGACTGACTCTGAAGTAAAGTATTCCTTCAGCATACCATTCATGCTATACAGAATCTGGGCTCCAATTCTGGCACCTCTAATTCACATGAACTAACTGGATTGATAGATATATGAAGTGAGATAAATTATACCAATCTCTAAGATATCATAAAACAGCAGTTATTACTATTTTTGCTTTTTGTCCAGGCACCAGCCAGTGACAGAAACAAATGCCAATTAGAAGTCCCAGCTGAACATACGGTCATCCAGCCAAACATCACATGTGGCCACGCAACTTATGCCTAGGTTCTAGGGATTGGATGTGAGTAAAAGTCACAAAAATATCTGCCTTAGGGGCCAGTGCTGTGGCTTAGCAGGGAAAGCTGCTGCCTGCAGTGATGGCATCCCATGTGGGTGCCGGTTCATGTCCCAGTTGCTCCACTTCCAGTCCAGCTCCCTGCTAATGTGCACTGGAAAGCAGCTGAAGATGGCCCAAGTCCTTGGGCCCCTGCACTCACGTGGGAGACCAGGAGGAAGCTCCAGGCTCCTGACTTCTGCCTGGCCCAGCCCAGCCCTGGCCATGGCAGCCATCTGGAGAGTGCACCAATGGATGGAAGACTTCTGCCTCTTTCTCTTTCTCTCTGCCTCTCCCTCTCTGTAACCCCAACTTTCAAATAAATCTTTAAAAAACAAAAAGTCTTAAAAAGAAAAAGCATGGTGGCCATGTGACACAGAAGTCAGGCTGCTGCGTGAGTCATTCACCTCCCACATCTGAGTGTCCGTTTTGTGTCCTGGCTCCTTCGCTTCTGACCCAGCTCCCTGCGAACATGTCCCCTCAGAAGCAGCAGACGAAGGCTCGAGTTTTTGGGTCCCTGATACCCACATAGGAAACCCAGATGGAGTTCCAGGCTCCTGGCTTCAGCACGGCCCAGTACTGCTATTATAGGCATTTGGGGAATGAACTAGCAGATGGAACATCTCTCTCCATCTGTCTCTCTATTGTTCCCTCTCTGTATCTCTGCCTTTCAAATAACTGATTTTTTTTTTTTTTAAAGAGTCCTGTCCTCACCTTCACTTGTCCCTGGTGATGTGGTGATGAGCCTTCCGGCCATGGAAAACAACCTCAGGACAGCAATTATCAAATTTTTAGTCTTATGTTCTCTACACTTTCAGAAACTAAAGCTCCCAAAGAGCTTTCAGTTACATGGGTTACAGCTATTGATATTTATCATATTAGATATTAAAACTGAGACATTTAAAATATAAATTCATTTAAAAATAACAATAACCCATTATGTCAGCATAAATAACAAAATTTTATGAAAAATAGCTACATATTCCAAAAGAATGGCATTGTTTTACATTTTATAAATCCCTTTTTAAAAAAAGATTTATTTATTTGTTTGAGAAAGAGAGGGAGACACAGAGAGAGAGAGAGCTTCTAACTACTGGTTCACTCCCTAAATGGCCGCAATGGCCGGAGCTGGGATGATCTGAAGCCAGGAGCCAGGAGCTTCTTCTGGGTCTCCCATGCGGATACAGGGGCCCAAGCACTTGAGCCATCTTCTACTGCTTTCCCAACCTATAGCAGAGTTGGATCAGAAGTGGAACAGTCGGGACTCAAACGGGCACCCATATGGAAAATCAGCGTCACAGGTGGAAGCTTAACCCACTATGCTACAGCGCTGCCCCCATAAATCTCTTTAATGTCTGGTTTAGTGGAAGGCGGTTATATTTTCATATACATCTAGTCTATTGCTATATGTTGCTTTGTTTCAAATAAAGGAAGAAAACTCAGTTTCACATAGGTTATTGCAAAAGCATTTTCAGATAACTGTCGATATTCTTTTTTGATAATATATCGATACTCAACAAGTAGTAGTTTTTTAAGGTTAGGTGCAATGCAGAATCTGAACTTCTATCAATGGACTTTTCACACTGTTACACTGGAAACCACTGGTCTGACTTGTATTTTGAATGGATCTTTTACCCACACAATTTGCAACACCACCCAGAAATATTTAGAAAATACGGTTTAGTGGCTTCTATAGATTTTCAAAATGCTGACAAACTGCATTATACAATAGCGAAAGTCCATGTCCACTGTTGTTACTACTGGGAGCTGGCAAGCTCATGATGGCAGACAACAGATTTTCCAAACCTCTAATTTTCAGATGAAGGCTCCAGCATTTATCATTGGAAACTCAGAAACTAATTTTAGTTGTTGTTCTTGAAGTGATAAGCTTATTTCATTCATTTTCAAGGAACCATCTGCCAAATACCCAAATTTAAGCATAATTTATTTGTGAGTTTTCCTGTTAAGCAAAAATAATGTTCTATGGAAAAAAGTGGATAGTCCAGTTTGCAACTTGGAAATAACCTGAGTTTTTCCTCAAAATAGCCAACACAATTCAGTATGCAGAAATGCCTTGTGTGTTCCTCATATTTCATAATATCCAATATTAAAGATGTATTAGTAAAGGGTTATTATTGAACCAATTTCTTCTGCTTCATCAAATATATTTTTAAGTGAAATTGGCATTTACTATTGTTACTCAATACATGATGGCTAAACAATATTAATACAGTTTGCTACCACTGCCTCGATTCATGCTAAGACCCTAGCAGTTTTATCCACGATGACAGCCCAGAAAAAAAGGCAAAAGTGTCAAAGTATTTTTACGAAAACTGATTTGACCTTACGGATCCCGAGTTTCGGGATGTACAGGGATCCACGGAATTTCTGCCTTGAGGGATGGCTGAGCTATGAAACAGAAGCAGCCGAGGCTCCTGGACGACCACAGAAAGCAGTCACCCGAGGCATACGACGCACCACTCTAACAGAGCATCTCAACTCTGATTCTCTCTGACTTACATTCACAAATAACAGGTACACACGGATGAGATACAGCCAGTGCCCTTGGAACAATCATCTCACCAGGGGCAGCCGGTGGCAGATGCCAATGAATCAAGTGTCCAGGCTAAAGTAGGAGGGCATGCTGAGTATCCTAAAGGCTCTGTAAAGTGAAGCCAACAGGAATTTGAAATTTTCAAATAAATAAATCTTTAAAAAAAAATGCAGGAGTCTCTGCCACTCTCCCTTTCATATAAACTAACTTAACACGGGGCAGGAGGCAGCATTGTGGTGCAGCAGGTTAAACCCACAGCGGAAAGCTCATGCTCAAGTCCCACCACTGCTTCCAGTCCTGCTGTCTGCTGATGCGCACGCTGGGATGCAGCGAGCCATGGCTCAAGTACTTGGGTCCCTGCAACCAACCCATGCCAGATGGAGCTTCTGGGGCCCAGCCTGGCCCAGCCCCAGCATTGCTGCCGTTTGGGGAAGACAACCAGCAGACGGACAAGCAGTCTGTGTCTGTCTGTCTCTTTCCCAGTCTTTCAAACTTAAAAAGAAAAGAAAAATACAGGGAGACACCCCCCCCCCCCCCCACACACACAAACAACTATTTTTTTTAACAATTACAGGGGAGGAGCCGGCACGGTGGCGCAGCAGGTTAAAGCCCTGGCCTGATGGGCTGGCATCCCATATGGGTGCCGGTTCTAGTCCCGGCTGCTCCTCTTCCGGTCCAGCTCTCTGCTGTGGCCTGGGAAAGCAGTGAAAGATGGCCCAAATTCTTGGGCCCCTGCACCCGCATGGGAGACCCAGAAGAAGCTCCTGGCGCAGCTCCGGCTGTTGTGGCCATCTGGGGAGTGAACCAGCGGATGGAAGACCTCTCTGTCTCTACCTCTCTCTGACACTCTTTCAAATAAATAAAATAAATCTTTTTAAAAAAACAATTAGAGGGGAAAAGATGCAATTATAATCTAGAATTTCATTTCCTCCAGTGTCTCAAAGAGTTGGAGTTTTCCTGAACTATTTAACACCTATCTTGCCAGCAAAGTTTCAGCTGTTTATATCTAGAGACTCCTCAAGTACTTAGTAAGGCTCCTAAGGGCAAATGTTATAAAGCTTTTGCTTCTTCCAACCTCTACAGGTATAACACCAAGTTTTTTACACATAAAAAATGTAGAACAAATATGTGTTGATTATGAGGAAACAACTGTTTTTCCTTCTAGCACCTAACCAATGACTCAAATATAAACATGTCTTGTGTGACTATCTCCGACATTTCCATTATTTCCAGGTAAAGTTCAGAGCCTTGCAGAGAGACAGAGCTACACCTGGTTCTGACCGAAGTCTCTGCCTACTGCCCTTGGGCTTAGGTTTTCTTTTTTGTAGAAGGGGGTTACTTGTGGGAGATCTGGGAGAAGCTCCTGGCTCCAGGTTTTGGGCTTTGGATCGGGGAGTGAACCGGGTTCCGGGTTCAAGCTCCGGCTGTTGAGGCCATCTGGGGAGTGAACCAGCAGGTGGTCGGTCCCCCTCTGTAACGCTGCTTCCCAAATAAATCTTTTTTAAAAAGGGGGTGGTGGTGGTGGTGGTACTTCATCTGGTGTTTACTAGACCTGAAATTTTTTTACGATTATATAACAGAAACACACTGAGCCAAAATACAAGTCGGAGATAGTTAGGGTTTAAACAAATCACAATGATAAAAGCAGTACTACTTTAGTCTGCATTGCATCTCCTTACTGATTACCACATTACTCTCTTGGAGCTCAACATCTGTATAAACATTACCACAGTCCCCTCGCTATGAGCAAATGAATGAGAAATCTGGTTTTTATCGTCCTCGTTTTTGCAAAGGTTCGGGGACTTCAGTACAGCGCCAAGTCCCGGAGTTAAGTCAGGGGAAACAGTGTCCGGCTAACTGGTTCCCAGGACAGCAGGTGCACCTCTTCCACCCCCAGGAGGATGCCAATCCCCACCGCTCGCACACACTGCAGCTCCGCCAGCCACGAGCCACGCAGGTCGCAGCCCCGCGCCCGCCCGCCCCTTCCCCGCCGCTTTACCTGCTTGTACCTGGCGTACAGGTACAGCAGCTGCTCCCGGCTGGCCACCGGCAGCAGGCCCTGCAGGTGCGCGGCAGCCTTCTCGAACAGCTCGGCCAGGGGCTCGGGGCTCTGGGGGGACTCCGCACCCCCGGAGTCGTCCCCGGAGCTCAGCTCTCCCCCGCTGTCTCCCGTGGTGGCCCCCGAGGGCAGGGGCGGGGAAGCCATGTCTCCGCGCGCGGCCCGCCCGCCGGCTGGGCGATGCGCTCCCCTCAGGCTCCCCTCCGGCCGCCTCGGCGCCCCGGCCCCGCACTCCGAGGCCCGAGCTCCAGCTGCGCTCAGCCGCCCGGCCGCCTCCAGCTCCCTGGGCGTGCACGGCAGGCGCGCCACCAACGTTCTCCGCAGGCTTCCGCCCCGGCGAGCGGCGCGCGGCGCGCGGCGGGGCGCGCAGCCAAGGACGCGCTCGCGGCCCGGCACGCCGGCTTGCGTAGCTGGGACGGGCCTGGGCCCGCTCGGCGCCGGTAGGGGAAGCGTGGGGGCCCTGCAGGGGACGGTGCTTGGACAACGTGGTGCCCGTTTCCGTGGCGGTAGCAGTCACAGCCTGCAGGACGCGGTGTCGGGCCAGGGACGCCGTCGGTTGGCGAGTGTAGCGGTGTGAGCAGCACCGCGGGAAACCGGAGCCCGGCACGAAAGTTCCGCCTGCCCCGGAGGGGGTGCTTCCGGCGGGGAGGCGCCCCCCGTTCCTTCAGAAGAGGCTGGCGGTTTTTTGAATAACGAGTGAAAAACCGACAGAGGCCGGCGCCGCGGCTCACTAGGCTAATCCTCCGCCTAGCGGCGCCGGCACACCGGGTTCTAGTCCCGGTCGGGGCACCGGATTCTGTCCCGGTTGCCCCTCTTCCAGGCCAGCTCTCTGCTGTGGCCCGGGAGTGCAGTGGAGGATGGCCCAGGTGCTTGGGCCCTGCACCCCATGGGAGACCAGGAAAAGCACCTGGCTCCTGGCTCCTGCCATCGGATCAGCGCGGTGCGCCGGCCGCAGCGCGCCAACCGCGGCGGCCATTGGAGGGTGAACCAACGGCAAAAGGAAGACCTTTCTCTCTGTCTCTCTCTCTCTCACTGTCCACTCTGCCTGTCAAAAAAAAATAAAAAAAATAAATAAATAAATAAATAAAAAAAAAAAAAAGAAAAAGAAAAACCGACAGAGGGGCCCTTCTCTGCCCTGCCGTGCGCTGCCTGGGTCAGATGAATCCTCTGCACTCCGGACCAGAAGTCCGGAGAACGGGCTTTGAGGCGGCCCCGGGCCTGCGCCCGCCACGTGAAAAAGCCGAGTTGCACACAGTTCTGCCCCCAAAGGACTTGGAGCGCTCCACGCACGCGGTGTGGGGGTGGTCAACCTTCCCCCCGAGCGCGTGTTGTGCCCTAAATGCTGTACAGGGGGACGGGGAAGGAAAGAGCGCCCTGTGGTCGCCAACACCGTGTCCGTGTTCCGGAGGAGAATGGCGGCCCATCGGCGAGGGCTGGGCCTGAGCGAGCACAGGGACGCGAAGGCGCGGCCGGGCCCTCCCGCGCGTCCCGCCTCAGCCCGCGCTCCGGGCGCTCCTTCCTGTCTGTCTGTCCGACGGCGGTCACGTGGCTCCAGGGGCTTGACCCCGCTGGGATGGCCAGCCCCAGGCCGCAGGGTCAGTGGGGCAGCGAGGAGGAAGCCGACCCCGCGTGCGCTAGGGACAGGCCACGGCCCTGGGGACAGCGGCCTTCCTCGCTCTCGCTTCGAGAATCTTTATTGGTGGACATTGAGTCCTGCCAGCGGTGGGGATATCTGGCTTTTCTCCTTTAATTCTGGAAAGGAATTAGACTAATAGAGTTTCTCTTTTAATGAATTATATTAATATCTAAATTAATAGGAGTTTAAGCGATTAATGGGAATTTTAAACCATTTATAAATTAATATGAGTTTTAGTGTGTTATAATAATAGACCTGGTTCTGAAGGAGGCTTGCATTCTTGGAATAAGGCCATTTCGGCCCTGCCCTTTTTTCCCTTTTTGATATTTATAGGCTTACTTTGCCATATTTTCAGTATCTTTACATGTCTGTCTAAAGATAACATTGATATATAGTTTTCCTTTTTCTTAACGGTTTATTTTAATTACTTGAAAGAGTCAGAGAGAGAGAGGAGAGACACAGAGAGTCAGAGAGAGAGAGGAGAGACACAGAGAGAGAGAGAGAGAGAAATCTTCCATCCGCTGGTTCACTCCCCAAGTGGCTGTAGTGGCCAGGGGTGGGCCAGGCCGAAGCCAGGAGTCAGGAGCTTCTTCCAGGTCTCCCTTGTGGGTACAGGAGTCCAGGCACTGGGCCATCTTCTGCTGCCTTCCCATGCGCTTTAGCAGGGAGCTGGATCGGAAGTGGAGCAGCTGAGACACAAACCAGCACCCATATGGGATGCTGGGGTCTCAGGCAGTGGTTTTACCCATTACACCACAATGCCCCTCCTTCATTTTTGTTCTATATTTTCTCAATTTTGTGTCAAGGTAGTAGTAATCATGTAGGGTGCGCTCAGTTCTGCTCTTTTTCTGTCTTCTGGAAGAGTTGAAATAACCTGGGAAATAGAACAAGCAGCCGGTGAGAGTGTAAATTGGTCCTGTGGGAAAATGTTTGTCACTGTCTTTAAAGCTGAAAATAAACATGCAGTTCTGTTCCTACAGCAAGAGTACATACACATGGTCACCAGAAGACAGGTCGGAGAGCATTCATGGAAGCACTAGTCCAGTGCTGGATTATTCCCACACATCCAAGTGCAGTAGGGTGGACAAACTGTGGGGTGTTTGCATGATGGAATACTGTCCAGTGACAGGAATAAACTATTCAAAACAACATGAATGGGCCGGCGCCGCGGCTCACTAGGTTAATCCTCTGCCTGCGGCTCCGGCACACCGGGTTCTAGTCCCGGTTGGGGTGCAGTATTCTGTCCCGGTTGCCCCTCTTCCAGGCCAGCTCTCTGCTGTGGCCTGGGAGGGCAGTGGAGGATGGCCTAAGTGCTTGGGCTCTGCACCCGCATGGGAGACCAGGAGGAAGCACCTGGCTCCTTGCTTCTGATTGGCGCAGTGCACTGGCCGTAGCAGTCATTTGGGGGGAGAACCAATGGAAGAAAGACCTTTCTCTCTGTCTCTCTCTCTCTCACTGTCTAACTCTGCCTGTCCAAAAAAAAAAAAAAAAAAAACCATGGATGAACCTCATAAAAATAATTCAGATTCCAGGAAGCTTGACCCAAAAATGTACATCCTGTATAATTCTGTTTATATTAAAAGCAAAATCAGACAAAACTAATCTGTGGTATTCAGAATCAGATAGTACTGGGTAGCTCTGAGGTTAGGAACCTGAGGGAGTCATAGAGGGACCTCTAGATATTGGTGATGTTTGGTTCAGGTACTGAACCCACACTTTAAGAAAATTCACTTATATATGTGAATTATATATGAGTGAAAAAAATTAAAATGTCATGAGGAACAAAATAGAAGAACAACCTTTGACCTTCAGAAACTGACCTGACACAACTGGGTCATCCTATTGTCTAATTAGACAGAAATAATCTCACAAAAGACCAGGTCACTCTGAAGCTGTGATAAAGCAGAGCACATTGTTAAATTTAAGCGCAAAGACAAGGTCAGTCTGTCAACTACAAAATTCCAGCACCCTTTCTCTTGGCCAAAATGAATGGCTACTAATTCTTACCAGTCACAGCGACAGTCTCAGGCTAGTGTCCTCTTCCTGTAGATGAGCTGAATTGAGATGCCCAGTCACAGAATGTGCTCAGCCTTTTGGCAGCATCCAAACTAGAGCAAATGCCCATTTCTTTAAACTCTTCCTCGAATTCCAAGGACATTAGCTTTTGTTACTTGAACTAAAACGCTTGGGAGAGAAGCAACTTACAAAGCAAGAAGCTTTAGTCCGTTGTACAGTTTTGGAGGATCACAGTCTGAGGTCAGGGAACCTCACTGAGTCAGGCAGAGGATAGTGGAGAGAGGATTACGAGGTATGCCAGGAAGCACGATCTATTGCCCTTTAAGGGCAACCCCCCCTCCCCATGACCTAATGACCTCCACTGGGCCCACTTCCCAAATACCATAATTAGACCCAAGTCTCCACCCTTAATCCATTAACCATGAACAGAAGACAATTGGGATCAAGCTCCCAGTACACCCAAACTACTATGCAAACCATAACACCAGACAGAGCTTAATCCCATTTTCACTCCCCAGATGGCCACGTTGGCCAGCCCTTGGCCAGGCAGAAGCCAGGAGCCAGGATCTTCATCTGGGTCTCCCACAGGGTGGCAGGAGCCCAAACACTTGGACCATCTTCTGCTGCTTTTTCCAGGCTGTTAGCAGGGAGCCAGATAAGAAGTGGAGCAGCCACCTGTGTGGGAGACCTGGAAGAAGCTCCTGGCTCCTGGCTTCAGATTGGCACAGCTATGGCCATTGTGGCCATCTGGGGAGTGAACCAACAGATGGAAGACTTTCTCTCTCTCTCTGCCTCTGCCTCTCTGTAACTCTGCCTTCAAATAAATAAATAAATCTTTAAAAAGAGGAAGTAGTGAAGCAGCCAGGACACAAACTGGTACCCATATGGGTTGCCTGCATCTTAGGCGGCAGCTTTACCCACTAGGCCACTGCCCAACTTAACACCTTTTTACCAGGACATTCCCTGATTGCCCATGGCATGTGTTCCTGCTCGCTACAACAAGTAATAATTCCAACTTGGTAGGCTATAGATGTATTTCTGGAGGTCTCTGGCCCCAGGGCATTGATACTGGAGAATATTATATTTCTTGAAGTTTCAAACAAAACCCAAAAGCTATCAGGATCTGGTGACTTTGAGGTAATAGATCTTTTACAATTAGTGTTTCCATTTAGACAGTTTTGGGAAAACATGCATGTTTTTCTGAATCTCAGGAAATCAGGAAGCCAGAAGGAAATATGTTTCCTACTAGAATTAAAACTTAATAACATAGAGAGGTTACAGATTCAAATGAATCCAGGGACAAATCCAAAGCTACTGCAGGAAATGTTAACGTGTGGTCTAAAGTGGACCAGGGACAGGAGCAGGCAAGTGACAGGTGGCCTATAGCTCAGCAGTGTGGCCTGTGGTGGTTGCTTTGTGTGTTCATGGTCCCATTTCCTGCTATCCTAGAGTCATTCTTTATAAGTAAAGTGAGTTTGCTAATGAAGAAGAAGATGGGAGAGGGAATGGGAGGTGGGAAGGGAGCCGGGTGGGGGACATGAGGGAAAGAACTACTGTATTCCTAAAGTTGTATCTATGTAAAAATGCATTCATTAAATAAATAAAAAAGGAGATATACATAATATGCACTTTAAGCAAAGTTCTCTGCATGGTATTCTTAGAAAAAAACAAGTTTGGAAGCAAAAATAAGTTCTTAAACTGGCAATTTCTATAAGTGATTCTGAATAGGGCAGTTAACCTTGCTAGGAGAGCTGAATTGTAACCCCTACAATGTGTGTTAGCATTTTCCAGTGTTGCTATTCACTGGAGGCACCAATTCTAATTTCTCTACCAGAAAAAATGCAAAGAGAAAAAGATATGAATATTGTGATATGCTTGCAACATGACATCCCAAACTAATCTAAGTATCTGAATTAACAAAAATCATA